GATATCCTCCCACAATTCTTCTGGTTTTCGGTCATTTCTTCAAATACAAAGGCTTTTAATCCCCTTTCCCCTGCTCTCCCATCCTGCTGCTTTGGGTGTGCCTGAGTTTCCTCTCCTCACCTGGATCCCTGTGGCTGAATCCATATTTTCTCTATGTAAAGCTTTATAGCACATAATCTGTATCATTTTCTTGGTACTTAACCAGATAGAAATGTATTTATGCACATATTTATGTCTCCTGTGGATTTATACTTTCTGTCATTTCTGGCTGAAGAGGAATTCCCTCACTTCCTTTCCAGCTCAGCATACATTATTAACAGATTTTCCAAAGCTATTGCTTTCAGTACTTGTAGGTCAGAATTGGGAAAGGTTTTTATGAACACTAAGTCTTCCATATTGCTGGAAACAGAAGATACCATTTAGTTCACTCTAATAAACCCTTACAACAACAATAATAAACCCTTACATGTATATGTACAGCACTTAGTGGGGTGCTTTCACATATATGCATTTACACAAAATTTCAGTAGCTTTTGACTTAGTGCTGCTACCACCATGCTATAGGAGAGAAATGGAGGGCAGGAGAGACTAAATAAGTGGCCAGAATAGGGCCGCAGAGACAGAAATGGAACTAAGTCTTCTCTTGCCAAGTCCAGGCTTCATTCCAGAACATCACCACTGCTTTCCTATATTATCTATGCCATTTCTCACTGCTATCACAATGACACCCAGAACTCTTTCAAAATAGACATTCTGTATGTGAAAGGTGCCTGTGTCATGCAGAAATTAGGTCACAGGCAGTAGACAGAGGGATTGCTATGTGAGATAGTCAATATAACACCACTGAAAGGAAGGTTTTCTGCACTGCAGTCTTCCTTACCTCACAACCTTAGTTCCGTTTCTCACGACCTGCATGTCCACCATACAGCCCCCAGTAACATAGGCGGCTAGGTTCAACTCTGAGAATTCAGCCTGAAGGAGGAAGCAACACAAAAAAAGAACTCATCAGCTAATCATGATGATAATAATCACAAACATTTAGTTTGTATGTACAGGTGCCAGACACAAATGTAAACTTAGGAAACTGGTAATATTGTTATCTCCCTTTTTGAAAGATGAGTAAGTTCAGGTTCAGAGAAGTATAAGAACATGTCAAAGGTTATGTGATCAATGAAAGGCAAAATTTGGGTTGAGCACCAGGTCTCCCTGATTGAAAAACCAAAATCAAACACATTGCCATTGAGTTGATTCCAACTCACTGCGACTCCCATTGGGTTTCCAAGGCTATAAATCTTTATGGAAGTAGACTGCCTCATCTTCCTTCCATAGAACAGCTGGTGGTTTTGAACCACTGATCTTTTGGTTAACAGTCAGATGCCTTAACCATTATATCACCAGAGCTCTATTCCTTGATTCAAAGGCCCATGCTTTATTATTTTATTTTATTTTTTGAAACACACAGGAGATTTAATAAGTATTTGTCAAATTGGCCAAAAATGACTTCATTGAATGAAATAATACATTAAAGCAGAACAATATGATGGAAAGTATACATTCTATAAATATTAGCTATTATGTTATAACTTTTTATCAGCAGGAAAAAAACTGAAAGCTTTATCAAAAATTTTAACCAGGGGAGTTCCGGCATAATGGCGGACTAGGCAGAAGGACTGCACAGACGCTCATCAACAAAGAAAAAGGAAACCAATTAACATGGACACAGAAGATAATTTTGGACCCCTGAGCCTTGAAGGGAAGGATACAAAAGTGGACTAAACCCCAACTAGCAGAAGAATTTGCATGAAAATACCAAAAAAGGAGACACATGGAGCTGCGGTCTGGCAGCG